CTGACCAATCACAAGCCAGAGAAAACGTGTGCTTATCGCGAAAACTAGATGTTTTCAACGATGTAACCATGGGTAGCGAAGCGAAGTCTGTCAATTTGGCAAAAAATAATGACTGTACTTGTCAGAATGAATCATTCATTCAAAATAAATGCTTCTTTGCTTCGTGAACGTGAAATAGTCTCTCTTCATTTCCTTGTCAAATCTATTGTGTTGCCGTGGTGTTGCTCAGCAACACAATTCCGTGAACAATGAAGCGACAGAATTATCTCGAATATTAAGAATATCGTGATATTACTTATGATAACGCTCACTTTGAGCAAAGAACTTCCGAAAGTATATTTTTCTCCTGAAGTTGAGAAGGCTCTGAAGATCCTTGTTGCCTTTACCTTGTAAGATTTGTACAGTTGAAAGGTCATTTAGTAGCCTCAGGAGAATCAAAACCTGGTTGAGGAGCACCATGTATCATGCTCGACTCAATGGCCTCGCAATGATGAGTATACACAAGCAACACATTTTCAAAAACTTGAACGATTTCGTCAAAAAGTGACCAACGAATTCTCAAAGAACCCTAGAAGATTATTTTTCAACTGATTTACTGTATAGATTTTTTTCTGTTTTTTGATTTTCTCATTAAACTCTTTCTATTTGATTTTTCTCTTCAGTTTTTTTATGGTGCCCCCCCCTATTTTTTCCGCTGGCGACGCCCTTGAATAGCTAACGAATGAAAAACATAGAAGAAGAAGTAACCAGTTTTTCACACAAAGTACACAAACATACATAACCACAAATTCACTCGGAGCAGGGGGGTAGTTAGTTTTTCAAATGGAACACCTTGTATATTTTCACATATTCAAGTTCGACAGGTCAAAACAAGTGCAATCTTCATGCCAATGTAATTTTTTCGAAAAAATTGATATAGCTTTTTTTTATTTCACCTCGCGGATAAATGAGATGTGGTCAAGGCTATTCACACACTTGCACATAACAGAGAACCATATTTTTTTCTGGAAAATATTTTTTGTGTTACTAATCGATGAATAAATTCAGTCAAATCACATTTTGATCAAGAATTCATTTTTTTCAAAGGGATTTCCTACCTCTATCTAGATTCTAGAACATGCCTAAAAAAAAGAGATGATATTTCATTTTTGTATTTAGGTGCAGTAGTAACAAATTGTATATACATTCAAAAATCAACAACTAGTTCATGAATTTCCTTGCAGTTTTGTTCATGAATTTTCGTGCACTTCGAATAATCTAAATTTTTTTGAAAAAAATGTACTTGAATATGTAACAATCTACAGGGTATTCCATTTGAAAAAACAATGTTGCTGTCATATCCAGAAAAACCAGAAGTCCGCCATTTTGGATTGTAATGTGATCCAATCCGAAATGGTTACTACAGTATCAAATTTCAGAAAAGTAAACGCAGAAGTTACTGGGGTGGCTCGATGCCCTGTGTCACCCGGTATTATAGATATTTTAGACCTTTCAACCACTAACTAACCATGTACCATGACAAATATAAAATTTATGTTTTCCATAATGTGGAAATGTTCGTTGTTCGAATTTACCGCCAATATCAGTGATTTCGATTCACCGCCATAGCTCAAATCGCTCTGATTGGTCTTTAGGAATCGCCTATACGTATGTTTGGGCAAAATGAATTCGTGCTGACTGTTGCACGCTTCACGGCTGATTCGTCGACATCGACCGAACACTGGGTGTTGCTGGATTCCGGACGGAGTAATTCGACACGGGTACTTGGCTCCGGGCTCCAGGAGCATAACGTTTTCGCAGCATTTTCAGGGACATTTCAGCTCCCGGCTACACTATATCAAGAACTCGGAAGTAATAATCCGAAAGGCTTTTAATCACTCCCAAGGTGGTTTCGTTATTAATCGTTTATTAACAGGCGTTATTTTGTGGATATTAGAAATTAGACGGAGGCGCACTAAATCGATCGCATCTGCTGAGCATCGGCTAATCAAATTTTAGGTTATAGTTTTTGATCGAAGCATGGTTGCCATCTTATCGGTTTTCTCGCTAAATATGGAGTTTTCAACCTGATTTGCGACGTGTCGGAATTCTAGCGTTTTCAACATAGTCATAGCTATAGAGTCAGTGGATGGTTTTAGTAGATTATAGGGTCCCTTATGGATGTAAATTGACGCATTTGTCATCTTAACAGGGTACGGACAGATCCTCGTCTCCTCTCACTCTAAAGTGTTTGTGAAACAGGTATATACGGTTATATTGGTCCGTCCTTATAGGTCGCGTGCACGAAGACCGACCCTGGAGGCAAAATATTGAAACACAACCTCATTCTTCTGTGAATTATTGAAACACAACCTCACTTTTTTATTTGGTTACAGAGGAATCAAAAGGTTGAAATAGTTTTTCACAATATTTTGGCATACGAATCGTGTTTCTTGCGTTATTCATTAATTCAAGCATGCCTTTGCATTGTGCTGTTGTACAATGCACAAAAAATGCAGCAAGAGACTAGGGAATATGATTTTTCAGGTAAATAGTAATCTCACATAGTTAGCATTATGAAATGTTGTCATTCCTTATTAAAATTCCTTCTGCCTTCTGCCACTTCTGCAATACAAGCTAATGCTGCTAATAGATTGAAAATGTCTACAACACACACGATCGTCAGCAAGTCAGACCAGTCCTACCGATTGATTGCATGAATCCGATCTTGTTGCATTATTCTAGAAATTTCAGGTATATTTCTATTAGCTGATCCTATTGCAGAAGGAATTCCGATGAGAAATCAGAGAAATAACCAAATTTCAAAAATGAAAACTATGTGAGTGACTATAGTAGGTACTTACTTTTAAATCATAATGTACCATCCGGATTTCTTCATCTTCCGCTGCAGTTTTTGTGCATTTTACAACAGCACAATGTGATGGCATTAGCGAATTGATGAATAGCGGAAAAATACGATTCATATGCCAAAATAATTGTGGAAAACTATTTCGATCACTTGTAAACAAATATGTTTTGCCTCCAGGGTCGGTCATCTGACAGTTCTTGCACGCGAACTATTCAATTCTGGGGATAAACACTAGATTTTCGACATTTGTTGTTTTTTAGGTTATATTGAGGTCATTGGCGTATCATACGTAATTTCCACATGTAATTCCTCATTCAACTCTACATATTATATCCAAATGATGATGATAATTTTCGAATTTTTTATTTTTCAACTCCAGCATAATCTTTGTGAGACAGTGAGCAATTTTTTCTGAAAGTTTAATACGTTTCACCAAATGGGACTGTTCTTATGCAGTACCTATCAATTAATGAATTTTGATTTCAGACTAAGCCTTATGGTTGAGAAATGGTGAAAAAATGTATTCAAACTAATGTACTCCTATGTCATGTGTGCTTTATATATTCATGTTGGGAATCATTTTTGCAGTTTTTCACGAACTCTCAATATTTCCTGAATGTAGGTATAATTCTTCAAATGGTAGGGCATATGCCTCTTCTTTTAATCCTCCGTTTTAATCAGAACTGTTTTTACTAAAATGCATTCAAAAACTTGTGGAGTGGATAATTATAGGCACAATGAGAAAGTATAATTATGTGATTTCGTATGAGTTTTACCTCGAATATTTTACTGATGAATTTAGCAATTTTCCCCATTCGGTCACTTCACTTTCCATGTTCTAAGCTCATTTGCATTTGATGGAATGCTGACAAATTCAAATTTGCCATCCAACTGATTGATACAGCCTAACGCAGCACATTTTACCATCTTTCCAAAACAGAATTGAATAATGTCGTATCAAGATCAAGTATGAAATTAAAATTTTGTAAGATCTCTTTTAACGCCTATATGAATGTGACGTGAGAGCAATGTGATGTCAGGGACGCCAATACACGAAACCGAAGTCACTAGATGATATAAAGAGAAATGAGCTATGATCTGTCCGTACCCTGTTAGATGACAAATACGTCAGTTTGCATCAAGGGAACCTAGTTCTTTCTGCTCGCTTCGCTCGCTAGCGACTTGTAGTGTTTTTTTTCCCAACTTCTTGCGACAGTTGATGTTCAGCAGTTGGCAACAGTGGATCGAATGCTTCAAATCACGTCGGTGACCGATGTTCAAGAAATGAACTTCTAAAGGCTTTTCTCAGTATCACAGTAACCATAATGTAATGAATATATATTTGAAAAACTCACGATGATTCTATACAGAATGTTTCAAAATTCAGTAAGTTATCATGATCCTAATGTCGTATTTTTCAGATCAAAATGAGATGATTTTTACCAATGAAAATGTCCCTTACATCAGTTTTTTCTTAATAGCTCTTTCAGTTTTTGGGATACTCAGACAGAGTTTTCGAAATGGCTAAGCATGCAGATGATTATTAGTATTTGACTACTTTTATGACTAATTGATGAGATCACATGTGATACTTACTGTTATTTTACAAAAATTAGATTTTCATAATATGGTATACTTTTTCTATAGGTATAATAATTGTGGAAAATGCATACAATTTCATTGACATTCAATTCCTCCTGTCATAATGAAAATAAGCTGAAAAATTTTAAAATCCCACACATCTCAAGCCAAAATAACAATACAATATTTTCACCTCAGATTATTGACCTTTGTTCATGTTGACATTTTCGGGATTTTTTTAAGGATTCTGTAAATATCTCCTTATCAATGCTCTGACAAACACCGAATTTTCAAATACCCCAAAACATACACCTAAATCTATATCTGATATGGCTTATTGCATCAAGAATGAATCACTTTGATAAAGATAAAACGATAATAAAATACCTGTAGATTATATTTTTTATTGCTGACGCAGCTCTATCTAATGCCCAGCTGTATATAGATATGAAATAATCAATTTTATCTAGAAACTATTCCTTTGTTATTTTATCAAATGTATTGCATGGAATAATATTGATTGGGGGCCTGCATTTAGGAACATAAAGAGCTTGAGTATCAGTCAGTAGGTATATTTCAAATAGGTTTTGTTCAAACAAGTTGTCAAACGTTATCAATCCTCTACAGACAAATCTTGAAAAAAAAAACAGTATACGTGAGTATACCTTTCTTTATAATATAATGTTGCATATTGATACAAATTCTACTGTGACAGAATTTTTCACAATTTCCAAGATTTATTTGACGTGTCATTGCATTTGATGAAATTCCTCAGTCCTGAATTCTTTCATCAAATTGCTCAGATGATCATTGGAAATTTTGTTATTTATTATTTTGGCTAGATAGTGGTATTTTGAATTAAGTTTACTGGTGTAGTTCCTTCTGATCGAGTGTTCAGTGGTCTGGTATATATGATAATGAAGGGAATACTTCTGATCATCAAGTTATCTCTCCACTTCTGGCCATTCTATAGTCTCTGTGTCTACTATTTCTCAAATAATCTAATAATGTCTGTTATCTGAATAAAGTTCCCCTCAAACTATTGTGGCGGATACTAGCAGTTGCTTTTCAATAGTTAGTAGTGATTTTGGTATTCTTTTTTCTTATTTTCGATCGTTTTCGACTTACACATCCATGTACCGTCACAGACCTTCCTTGTTCTTTTGGAAATATCCAATTCAGAACTTTTTCAACGTGATTCATCTTAGATATGAGAAACATATTTATTTTCTATATATAGCCACTAGGTACTAATGTTTATTTGCTATCTCACTATTTTTACTACTGAACTAATAATGAATTTTTGGCATTTGCTGGTCTCACAGAAAGGTTAAATGTGAGCTCTGTTCTTTTTTGCTAGGCGATCAGTTGCCTCATTTCCTTGACGCCTTGGAACCCACATAAACAAGAATTGATTCTAATACTTATCTGCGAAAACCGTCGAGAAACGATATTTTTGAAAAGTACCCAGATTTGGTAAATTTTCAACTGGCTCTATCTCCGCACCCTCAAGTCCTACATCCATGAGCAACAACAATTTTATCTCGAAAATTTTATCTACTTCAACTTTTTATAGGGCGTTCTTTTCGATATAATGTATGATTTCCAAGTTACGGGCAAAAAACTGAAAAAAGTCCGAAAATTTTGCTGTTTTTTGCGAATATCTCGGAACGCTCCAGGAAATTTTGTTTGCAAAATTCAGATTCGAATTCAGCACCTCTGAAAACATATGAAATCACAGAGAAACCGACTACTTGATTTTTTTTCCCGAATTGGGTCCTAATCGTTACCGTTTTACTGAGCTATAATATTCTCCACGTTTTATATACCATTCATGAGGGACTAGTTCTCGATGAGTAGAATTTTGTACGATTGGAGTGAGGAGCATATCATTTCAGTCAGAGTTATTATTTATTCGAACTAGTAAATCGAATATCTATATCATTCATTTTAATAACGAACGTTCGAATTTTCTGTGTTTTCAATAGGTTTGTTTCGTGGAAACTAATTTTTCATGAAATTTATACTCCTCTCGTATTGTGAACTCAGTCGTATTTGTTGTTATCGACAACAATATTTGATTCCTCTATGGTATTTTTGTTTTCGTGTTGGCACACAAAGGCCTTTCTGCACTAGTTACTGCGGCGAGAGCACATTACACAAACATTGTATGTCATTTATCATGTAAGCCTTAGTGGTCAACGTTCGCACACCGTAAATCATGCCAGAAAGATTGCTTTAATAAAAACATTTTGAATTCGCTCTAGTGAATGCCCCTATGCACATAGAGGATCTCCCATCAAAACCATTTACAGGGTGTATCTAGCAATACCAATCAGACGAACTAGACAAGCCCAGTCAGCACATCCTTCCGTTGTCAACCTCGAAAGATGTCGAACAGCACTTTATCAATACTCCTTCATTGCCTGAGGAAGTATTCCCAACAACATATAATCTCCAGAAGTTCAAAAAAATTCCAATACCTACTTCCTATCCCTATCCTTCCTAGGAACGCACGATGTTCTTTGAAAATTATTGGGATTCCGTTTCGTGCGCAACAAGCGATAAAAAAAATATAAACATGTGTCCTAACTTGCGTAGTTTTCGAAATAAAGGGTATTGATATTTCCATGAAGAATCGTTTTTTTATTTATTACTCAATTGTATTTTCATCAATTTAAATAAGACGTTGTCGTTTTGTTGTTGCTAATATGGATCTTCTTCTGGTGCAATTAGATTCGAAATAATATTTCCAGTGGCGTCACAGTGGGTAAATTTATCGATATTCATGAGGAATGTCATTTGGCGCTACCGTTTTTTCTGAGTTCCATATTCTTATTAGATTGAACTATTGAAATAACAACCTTTTTATCCTCTGTGTGATTTTTGTATCTAGCCTATTTTTTGAGGAAACATTAAAAATTCGATTTGACTCCAAATTTTAATGTAGGTGTTTTCAAAACATCCATTGAGATTACTCAATAACCCTCATTAGAATCATTTGGAAATGTTGGGGCTTTGTCAGTCAACCAACCATACTGAATTTTGTCATCATGAAAGCTTATACAGGGGGGTTGTAAATAAAAACAATTAATACTTTCAACTTCAACATCCTATATCTCAAAAACGAAACAATTTTGGACACATGTACACATCATTCATTATAATTCACCCTGTATAATATCATTCAATTTACATACATTCCCGGATACTTAATATGCAATTATACAGTGTATCCCAACTTGAATTTGTCATGCATCCCCGCGGAGATAACATTGATTCCTGATGTTCAGTTGATATAGAACATCTTATGTAATGATTTTATAATCATTCCATTTATTATTATATTTTCTGCATAGTAATTTCAACTCATACCATTAATTATCATATTATCAATATATCTACATACAGTTTTCGAATCATTGCCTATACATATATAGTTATAATTCAAATTATATCTATCAAAATTATCTGGAGAATGTTTGAATGTCATTAAAAATCAAGTTTGAGACCGTTTCTCAAAAACTGATCATATTGATGGCTATTCCATACCGGTCCCAATAGCTGAGATATTTATAAAGGAGGGGCCGATTGAAATGAGACATACTGTAGATTCGTTAATGTTGAATATTTTGTCATGAAATAAGTTGGTAGAGATCTATTTCAGAGAACGCCGAGTCCAGTGGTGTTCACGGATATTTTTTATAAAGAAATCGCTAATATGGTTTCTGGATTTTTCAGCCTTTGAATGTCATCTATCATTCAGCTAAGCTCCAAAATACGCCTTCTCCCCCTCTACATTTGAAGAAAAATCGTGAAATAAAAAACTTATGGGTCACTCTGTACAGGGTGATTCACCATATATATCCCCCACACCAGCTCACTTATTTTTGAACCGATTTGAAAATTTGAAAAATAATCTCGAATGATTTTTCAGAATTTTTTTTCCCGTTGCATCAGAAAATGCAGGGTGCTCGGAACAATAATGATCTACAGAGTACTACTTGATTTTTTCAAATGGAACACCCTGTATTTCATTGTATTTTAAGATTCTTCCTGAAGAGCTGATTTCATCAATGCATCACACTTGCGGTCTAGCGGGAATGATTACAGAGATATAGGGTGTTCAAAATCGAGATTTTTCAAGTTTAGGATTTATTTGTCTCGAAACTATTCATTATTGGTCGAAACGGCTTTTATGTTTCCATCTTAACTTTTGATTTACTGCCTACTGACATTTAATTGGAATTTTTACAGGGTGATTCAAGATTCAGAATTCTGATCATCCTGTATCTCTTCCAAGTTGAAAAATCTCGATTCTGAACACCCTATATTTCTGTAATCATTCCCGCTTGACCCCAAGTGTGATACATTAACGAAATCAGCTCTTCAGGGATAATTTAAAAATACAATGAAAAATAGAATCTTCCATTTAAAAAAATCAAATAGTACCCTGTAGATCGTTCGTTCCGAGCACCCTGTATTTTCTGATGTAGCAGAAAAAAACTCTATCGAAAATCATTTTAGATAATATTACAAATTTTGCAATTGGTTCAAAAACAACTGAGCTAGAGGAAGGGACATTCATGGCGAATCACCCTGACATAGCCAAACACCGTGTAAGTAACTCACAAAATTGTTTGACAACTTCTGTCTCTAAGCAGTGTCGAAATACAAAAGCGAAGACACCAATATCAAGAATTATTCTTCATTTTTATGTTGACAACGGAAATAGATTCGTTTCCGAAACGTCCAAAGATAAGTATCATAGAAATATTTGCTCAAACGGCATCATAACGATAGTGTTGTAATTTTACTCAGCTTTCAATATCATAATGTCCACCTAGAATTTCTATAGTCTCATATTGCTTCGTGGATCCATGAGTAGGTAATTTGGTTCAGATTTGAACCTATATGTTTTTGATCACAAAGTTTATTTTTTTGATCAGTTTAGTTGTCGAAATATACAAATGTAGACATGTCTGCTAATAATAAGATGGATTGATGATAGTGATGAGCAAGGTAACCTGTATAAATTGTCATTTAATGTGGTTTATCAGCTACCTATTATTTGGAAGGTAATATTGGTAATATTTGGTACTATTTGGTGATATTTAGTGGTATTTGGTAAAATGCAATGCTATTTGGTATTATTCCGTAACAATAAGTAATATCTTGAGTATTATTGGTATTATGGGGATATCCCCTGAATATTACTGATATAACCTGATTTCGACATAATATGGTGTACAAAATTTGGGCAATTGAGCCACCCCTTGGTCGACGGGTTCCAAATTAGGGGGGTGTTGCGGGTTGAAATCACACACACTGATGTATGATGTTCATGAGAATACGTTTTTCTCAAAACGACCTAATGAAGTTTCGTGCCGTAGTTAGGAAACACTCTGTATCATGTTGTTTTCGAGATATCGATCGTTGAAATCAAAAAATTATTAGCCAATCACCCATCAGATTTCCATTTCTGTCGACCGGATTTTTTCCATGAATTTTTCCTTAGCACACGAGCCGGCCGTCCTATTATGACTATTGTCCGAATTAGTAGGTCGTAAAAATCGGGATCAAAAGGATTGTTTGGCCACGGCCTGGATGTATTTGAACGAGGGATGTTCCGACCGATGCTTTGTTTACCTGGCC